CCATCTGTTTGCTCTCTGCTGCTCAGAAGGTGTGTTCTATATTGTATTTTCAACTTCATTAATTTCCCCATGTCTTTTATTCTGTTGAACCCATGCAGTGGGCATTTCATTTTGATTGTTATAATTTTCAGTTTAAGGTTTTCATTTGATTCTTCTGTATTTGCTGTTTCTTTTCTGAGACTTTCTAATTTTCACTTGTTTGAAGCATACACATTGAAACATTTCAGGATGACCAGTTTAAAGTGCTTAGCAGGAAACCGTAAAATTCTTATCCAGCATCTAGGTTATTTCAGTGTTGACATCTGTTGATTTTCTTTTCTCATTGAATCGATATTTCTTGGCTCTTGGTGTGGCATGTGATCAGTTGGGTTCTGAGCAATTGGAGTGTTGTGGCGTAGCCCTGTTTAAGCCTCTTTCAGTAGACCTTTTCTGGTATCACCAATGTGGGAAAAGGTCCCGCTTCATTGCATTGACATTGTGATGAAAGTTCAGGGTCCTTACTAGAGTTTCCTTGGCTCTTGGGAGTGAGCATCTCATTATTGCTGGGTGGGATGGATGCTTAGTCACCTTGGATACCATGACCCACCTGATGAGGGCAGAAGCTTCCCTGATGGCTTCCACTGTGCAGCTGAAACAGTACTGGTTAGCTTCCTAGCCTTCTCTCACAAACAGGAATTCCTTATTAATGCTTGATGGAGTGAAGCTTCTTTCTTCCCCTGAAGCTTCCAGTGATGACCGTAAGCAGAGGGGAAGGAGGAAAAGTGGGGATTCAGATTCTGGCCTTCACTCCTCTTCTGTGGAATCACCCCTGGGGAAAGAAGGTGGTGGGTGGGCTTCTAGAAGTCCAAGGGGATTACAGTTTTTTCTATAGTGTCTGGCTGAAGTAAAGCAATTCTTGGCTATTCCGCCTGGTTTCTCCTTTTATGATCAACCTTTTTTCTTCACACAAAGGTGTCTCTGTATTAAGGCAGATACTCAGTACCAGATCAAGTAGTATTCCCAACATCAGACTAGAGGCTAAGGTGCGTGTTCCCAGCATCAGACTAGAGGCTAAGGTGCGTGTTCCCAGCATCAGACTAGAGGCTAAGGTGCGTGTTCCCAGCATCAGACTAGAGGCTAAGGTGCGTGTTCCCAGCATCAGACTAGAGGCTAAGGTGCGTGTTCCCAGCATCAGACTAGAGGCTAAGGTGCGTGTTCCCAGCATCAGACTAGAGGCTAAGGTGCGTGTTCCCAGCATCAGACTAGAGGCTAAGGTGCGTGTTCCCAACATCAGACTAGAGGCTAAGGTGCGTGTTCCCAGCATCAGACTAGATGCTAAGGTGCGTGTTCCCAGCATCAGACTAGAGGCTGAGGTGCGTGTTCCCAGCATCAGACTAGAGGCTAAGGTGCGTGTTCCCAGCATCAGACTAGAGGCTAAGGTGCGTGTTGGTAGTGGATCTTGCTGGACCAGATAGTGTCTTTCAGTTGGTCACAATTTTTACATTTTTGGCAGTCTACTAGGTCATCTTGTCAGGTCTTAAGTATCCCCACTCAGAGTTTTTGCTTTTTCATCTGCTACCATATTCATTTTACTTTTCTCTGTGCTACATTTTCATGTTGTCTTTTTGCTGTGTGAAATGTTCGTTTTCTGCAGCCTCTTCAGCTGATTGGTTCAGTTGTTTCGATTTCAATGTGATCTTACTCTATACAAGTTGATACTATTGTAGGTGTTTGTGGGGGCTTCTTTCTTCAGCACAGAGCGAGATAACTGGTTGCTTTTCTCATTTCTTAAATGGTAGTTGGAACTCCTGCAGCATGCCGATTTGCTTCATGGTTTGGTGCACACCTTTCCTCAGGTTAATCTCCTATATCTAGTATATCCTTTTCTGTTACATGACCAAGAGTAAATCCTCCCTTCAGTAAAGAAAAGAAGTTTACTTACATTTTCCTCAGATTTCATGCCAGGTACAGGGTTAAAGTCTCACTGTGTTAGGGAGAAAGGAAATATGGGTCATTCTGAAATCTGATAAAACCAAGAAAGAGATTTAAAAAATAAAGGTAAGACTGTATTTTTGTATTCTGCTGCTTACAAAATACAAGTGAGGCTGGATTACAGTTTTAGAGGTTTACTCCATCATTGTCATGGTGGAAGCATGGGAGTGTGCAGGCAGACAACAGGAAGGGAATGTCACTCTAGACCTAGCTTGAGCATTTGCGACCTCAAAGCTCACCTCCTAGTGATGTACTTTCTCCAACACAACCACACCTACTCTAACAAGTCCGTACCTCCTAATAGTGCCATTCCCTATAAGCCTGTGAGGGCTATTTTATTCAAACCACCGTACTGCCACATGGCATGTATTTAATGTCTATTCATTGTCTCAATTAATAGACATGTCTCAAATGCTCACATTAACTCATCATCTGTGGAGTTAAGCTTTTTTTCCCCCTAGAATCAAATCTGTGTTTTGTGGCCAGACTTTTACCTATTGTAAACATTATTGCTCATGGTAGCAGCTAGAATAAAAACTTCTTATATTCATAATAACTGTCACAAACTCCTTGGGACCACACAATATTCGTGTCTCTTGGAGCTTACACACACACACACACACACACACACACACACACACACGGAATGTGAAGCCATAGAAAGCCAACATAGACGGACACTAGAACTATTAGCGAACTATTAGCTTATTTAGAGCACTGCTCTGCTTTGTTCTTCCTGCTATTGCTTCAGACACTGAGCATTCAGTAAGCTCTTGGAATGAATGTACTCTGTAAGCTTAGTGACCTGGCCTTTCACTGTGAGCCAGCTCTCTCCTATAAGCCAGCTTGGGCTCCTTCTTGTTAAAGGTTAATAACCAGAATAATGAAGCAGTTGGTTATTTATGCAGTTATGATTGGCAAAAGTTATTAGAACAGGAATCTGCCCAGAAGCAATGATTAGGTTATGAAAATGTTAAGGAATATTGCAACTAGTTACAGTTTTTGACATTTAAGAAATATTATCCCTACTCTTAATCATGATGAGCTTGAATAGAAGTATATGTACAGAATAATTCCATTGGACAGTAATTCTTATGCCAACACATACCTAAATAAATGCTGAGAGGGAAGATTCAGAAATGATCTGAGGAAGCAGGAACCTAGGAGAAAATAACAACATTAAGAAGCTGGGCGGTGCCTGACTTATGAAATTGGACCTTTCTGACATAGTGCTTTTACCTCTAACATTCTTAACCTGCTATGAGCTGTGAAAAATGCACCCAGGATAGGGTTCCATGTCCTCTACAGCAGCAAGAAGATACATGGGCAGAAAGCTCTTAGTGATGGTATCAGTGATGTGGTTATTAATATTCAAAACAAGACAAAAGTTCAAAGAATAATCCCTTTATGCTTGATAGAGTTAGGAACGCAATGTATAAAATAGACACTAATCATTAAGATCATTTACATAAAATGTGACATTTTCAAGTATACAACTGAATGGCATTAAGTATTTCCCGGAGTATCAACACTGCCATCATCTAAACTCACTCTAAATTCTTTCCCCAAACCTGCACCCACTTCCCCGGTTCCTCTCCACCCGTCTGTAGCAACCACCAATCCACTCCCTTGTCTGAACGGACATGGCATATTCTTGACTTCTCATAAAAATAAATGCTTATGATATATATTCTTTGTTTCGATACTCTTTTTCATGACATAATATTTTCAAGATTTGTAGTATATACCAATCCCTCATTTATTTTATTGCCAACAGATGTTCAATTTTACAGATACTGCTCTGTTGATAAGTTGATGGACATTTAGGCACTTGTTGCTTTTAAACTACTATGAGCGGGGCTGCTCTGAAGATGCCATGTATGACTCTTTGTTTTAAATTTTTTTTCTTGGATAAAGAGATATATTGGGTTATGTAGTAAATTTCCTTTTAAAAACACTACTAATTTTTCTTACATAGTAGTAGTACATTTGCATGCCTGTTAGATAAACTGGAAGGTTCCACTGGAGTATATCCTTATTAGACTTGCTATTATGAGTCTTTGATTAAGGCTGTCCTGCTGGATATAAAGTCTTTTCTCCTTGTACTTTTGATTTACCTTTCTCCAATAGTTGGGTTTAGCATCTTTTATTTTTTGGTCATCTATGTATTTCCTTTAGCAGATTGCCTCGGAACATTTGCCAGTTTTAAAAATTAGATTAGTATTATTTATGCTGAGTTGTAAGAGCTGTGTATATATTCTGAATATTAATCTTTTATCATATAAATGATTTCAAAGTCTTTCATTTTGAGTTTTTTTTTGTTTTGTTTTGTTTTTACAAGACAGGGTTTCTCTGTATTGTTTTCGAGGCTGTCGGTCCAGCCTGGCCTCGAACTCACAGAGATCCGCCTGCCTCTGCCTCCCGAGTACTGGGATTAAAGGCGTGTGCCATCACCGCCCGGCTTGAGGGTTTTTTGTTTTGTTTTGTTTTGGTTTTTTTTTTATTTCTAGCGTTTTTGCAGTTTCTTATTTCAAGGTCACAAAGGTACACTTGTGAGAGTTTTATAGTTTTAACTCTTAAATTTAAATCATTGGTTGCTTGTCTTTTTAATACCCCTCCCCCTCTTCCCCTCTCTTTTCTTCTCCTTTCCTTTCCTTTCTTTTCCTTCCCCTTTCCTTTCCTGTGTTTGGCAGTTGCCCAGTCCATCCTTCTCAACAGGATGCCTCAACCTCCTTAATGCTGGGATTGCAGGCATGTACTCTATGCCCTACTCATTTTTCTGATAATATAATGTGATAGAAGTTCCTTTGCATAACTCTGCAAAGAAGAGAAACAAACGTCTCTTCACTGGGATGGTTGGTGCTACTTTCTTATTAAAATTATTGCTTCATGATTAGACACATGGACTGTTTTTATCTGATGACTCCATACTCACTGCCTCTGACCAAATTTTGTTATATTTCTATCTTTGCTTTGTTTATTGGAATCTGTGTGTGAGCCAGTTTTTTCTCCTTAATTTTCAATCTCACCTCTTCAGCTACAGTATCGAGAATGTCAAGAACTTCTAAGTCTCTACCAGAAGTACCTGTCAGAGCAGCAAGAGAAGCTCACCATGTCACTCTCGGACCTCGGTGCTGCTAGAGCGCAGGAGCAGCAGGTACGTGACCTCTTGTAACCCAGAGGGTTCACCTTTCTTTTTAAAATATACAGATATCTCGTGTCTTCCCTGGGTGTGGCCTTCGTCTCTGTTCTGTGAGGGTCGTGATGAGAAATAGAAGCTTGAAGTAGGAGGTGGCTGCTGGGAGACCTTTGATGGGATAAGAAAATGCACTCACCTGTTACTTAACAAAGAGCAGTGGCTATTTGGTGTCCTCTTGGAAAACATTAATATCCCTTTTCTGTTCTTAGTTCTTAGAATAAAAAATTATTTGGTGGCTTCTATATAAGCTTGTATGTATTAACTGAAATATTTAAATATATGAGTATTAGTTACCTCATAACATCAAATGATGAATATTTAGAATGTGTAAGCTTGTATGTGTTAATTTAAATATACTTGTGTTTGTAAGTAACTACGAAACATCAAGTGATGAGTATTCAGAACCTTGCTTTTTTAGATATAAAAGTAAGTACCAAAGCCATACTTCTGGCCTTCTAATACCGATGCTTGATGTCATTCTCCTGTCCTTATGAGTTAAAAATACAAATGTCTGAAAGTAATCTTTATATAGTAGTAAGATAGAGAGGAATGTGTCATATAAAATCGTTCATACTGAGCATGAAAATACAGATAATTTGTTAACTGCCATTTCCCAAGTAGTGTCAAAACTCAAAGACCAAACATAAGGATTTCTTGCAAACTTTCTAAAGAACATTGCTGTCAGACTGGAGACAATGGCCTTAGATGGGTTAATAGTTTTGACTAATGGCCAGGTGTTGGTGGCGTATGCCTTTAATCCCAGCACTTGGGAGGCAAAGGCAGGCGAATCTCTTGTGAGTTTGAAGCCAGCCTGTGCCAGGATAGGCTCCAAAGCTACACAGAGAAACCCTGTCTGAAAAGGGGGGGGGGAGAGGGAAAGGGAGGGAGGGAGGGAGGGAGGGAGGGAGGGAGGGAGGGAGAGAGAGAGAGAGAGAGAGAGAGAGAGAGAGAGAGAGAGAGAGAGAGAGAGAGAGAGAGAGAGTTTTGACTAATGGAATCCTGGTTTTGAACCTACAACTTGCATATATGGGAAAGTGAATACAAATAAACCCCACAATAGTAATGCTATGTTATGTGGTTAGCTGTTTCTTAGCACATTTTTAAAGAAGTACTCCAATTATTAATGACTCATTGGTATTCTTGCTCTTTTCCTGAAAGGTAGATATACAGCGGCCACAGCTTGCGTTATTTCTGTGCATGCCTTCACAAGTCTAAAAGAGGTTGACAGCTCTCTGGGTGCCTCTAGGCTGGAGTGCTTGTGAAGGTCAAGTCCAGGTTCACCCTCGCATTTCTGCTCGTGCCTGTGGCATGAGTTAGTTGACTGAGAGAACACAAAAGCAAAGGCAGCTTATTTAAGAAGGGACTGCAGCAAGGAGAAAGATGAGCCTTCATTTAATAATACTAGTAAAGTCTTACAACTTTAGGAGCATAGACTAACAGTCAAAACATGGTCACTGAAGTAAAAGGAAAGAAGAAAACGAAAACCAGTAGCAGGGAGGAGAAGAAAAGTTGATAGTTGATAGCAAGGCTCTAAGAATACCTGGAAGAGGCCCAGCCTGAAACTGGGAACAAACAAAACTTCCTTAGCTGTTGTTGGTTTTTATTTAAGCTAAGTGTAAACCATTATAGTTAATACTGCCACGAAAACCTTGAGCAGCGCAACTAAAAGCGATACTAGAATAAGATGTTGGTCCAGTGTATGGAGCACCGGCTCTTGGGGTGTGACTTGAGGTGGGTAGAACACTTGCCTACCATGTGTAGGGAGGGCCTTGTTCCATTTCCAGCTCCCCTCCCCCATATCTCTTGTTTTTCACTTAATCCAGAGAACTCTTTGAAATATGTATTTCCTTTTAAATCATGTGTATGTGTTTGTGTATGGGCCTGTGCACTTATCTTCTAAGTTGTCATATCCCGGTCATCGTAACCTGTTCTGCGTTGGTGTCGCGACGTGCACTCTGTCCTCTGCAGGAGCAGTGGGTGCTCCTGACCTCTGAGCCATCTCTCCAGGATAAACCATGTTTTCCTCAAGTACTTAGTGATCAAGTTCTCTACGTCCTCCCAGACAGTGAAAATGAGGCTGTAAATAAAAGGGAAACTAGGTTTCTTTTTTCTCTTTTCTTCTTAAGGAAGAAGGTGGGTCACTTTTTTGTTGTCTGGTTCCTCTTTGTGACAGGCTTCTCTAACCTGAGCACAGGGAAGCCCCTCTCCTCTCCTTCTGGGACCTGGGGAATCTACTGCAAGAGCCCTTACTTGTAGGCCTGACTTCTCTTTCCCTCAGCTCACCATGAAGTCTCCTGTATCTTACTGTTTTCACAACTGGACTGTGCCTGTCTTTGACGAGCGCCGTTTATTATTGTAGTTATTGTTGGTCACCCACCTCCTTCACAGTGTTCTGAAGGCTGTTTGTCACGGTGCTGGTGGCATACTCAGAGTCTGCTGTAAGGGCCACAGTGATCTCAAGTAAATAACCGAACGATCCACTTCAGGGTTCTAGAAAAGTAAAAAAACCAAACAATTGTAGCAGATGGCAAGAAATAACAACCATTAAGGCAAATAATGAGATAGAGGATAAAATTACAATACATAGACTCAAAAAGCTGGTAATTTGAAAGATAAAGATGATTGACAAACCTCTAACCAAAGTAACCAAAGAAGAAAAAATCCTGAAAACAAAATTAGAGGAATATTAGGGAAAACTTGGGAAGCTTATATTCCAACAAGTTGAAATATCTAGAAGAAATTAATCAACTCCTTGATATATACAGCCTAATAAAATTAAATCAAGATGATATCAACTTTTAATCCTATAACAAGCTGTGTTACAAGTGGTAATTAAACACCTCTCCACAAAGAAAAGTGTAAGACAGATTCACTGCTGAGCTCTAGCACACATTGAGAATGGCCTGCTAGCTGGGTACACACCTTTAATCCCACCGCTTGAGGCAGAGGCAGGTGGATCTCTGCAAGTTCAAAGCCAACCTGGTCTAGAGAGCAAGTCCCGGACAGCCAGGATTGTTACACACAGAAACCCTGTATTGAAAAAACCAACAAAACAAAACAAAAGAAAGAACAAAACAAACAAATAAAAAAGAATGACCTGCTAACAGTACTTCTGAAAATATTTCACAAAGCAGAAAGGGAAGGAATACTTTGGAACTCATTCTATAAAACCATTATTTCTCTGATACCAAGAAAGAAAACTTTAGATCAATTCCCCTGATGGATATAGATGTAAAAATTCTGAATACAATACTTAGATACCAAATTCAAGAACATATTAAGAGGATTATATTTCACAGCCAAGTTGGTTTTATCTTTGGGAGACAAAGTTAATTGAACATGTACAGATCAGTACATGTGACAGAGGTATACATCAGGACATAAATCACAGATCTGGTTAGATGCAGAAAAAAGCATTTGACAAAGGTCAGTATGCTTTTATGATTAAAACCCTGAGGAAACTAGGAATACAAGGAACATGTTACATGTAACAAAGGTTGTATACAGCAAACATATAAGCCAAAATAATTGCAGTAAGTGGAAAGGAAACTGCTAACATTCATCTCAAATCTGGTAAGAGAGAAGATGCTCACTGTCTCCTGCATCCTCAAACCCTTCTAAAACGACACATTGTGCTCTGTCTTCTCCAGAGCAGATGGGGGAAGAAAAGGGACACACCTAATCTCTGGCAAAAATGTCAGAAGCACATGCTGGAAAAGACTATTCAACTAATGGTGCTAGGCCAACCAAATCCATATTTTACTGTGTGTGTGCGTACATGGGGTGAGGCAAAGAGAAACACTTTAAGATCCAGGCATAGGCAAGAACTTTCTGTAAAGAACTCCAAGAACACAGGAAGTAACCTCAGGAATTGGGAAGTAGAATTTATGAAATTTAAAAGCTTTTCTTTGCCGCAAAGGCAACTATCAACTAAGTAAAGAGATAGCCCACAATATTGGAAAAATCTTCTGAGAGATGGGCACTATCTCCACTATATACAGAACTGTGAATTAAAGTATAGTCCCTAATGAAGGGCTCTGCTCTGTTGTATTGAACATCAGAAAGCATCACTAGGGAAAGGAATGAGGGATAAGTTACAGATATCTTTTACAGATTTATTTACTAGAGACTAATCACTGACTCCAACTGACCCAAATAACAAGCAAATAAACACAATCAAATAATATCTGAATAAAAAAATCAAATTTCCAATCAACAAATGAGCTAATGGCTCCAAAGAAGAAATGTACCTTTAAATTTTAAGTTTACCTTTAAATAGCTGATAAGCATTTTTTAAAGTGTCCAGCATTTTTAGTTATCAGGAGAATGTTGATAAAACCTATGTAAGACACCACCTTAGCTGGGCGGTGGTGGCGCACGCCTTTAATCTCAGCACTCAGGAGGCAGAGGCAGGCGGATCTCTGTGAGTTCGAGGCCGGGCTGGACTGACAGCCTCCAAAACAATACAGAGAAACTCTGTCTCGTAAAACCAAAACAAACAAACAAACAAAAAGATACCACCTTATCCCAATCAGAATAGCTGTCGTGCTGGCAAGGATATGTGTAGGAGGGCATGGTGGAATGGAAACTTGTGCAGCCATTGTGGATATCAAGAAATGTTTCTCATAGCAACGAAAACAAAAACATAAAACAGAACCACCTTCTGATCCAGCTCCGCCACTCCTAAGTACACATAAAAAACTGAAAGTCCTCCCACACACATGTGTGCATCCATACATATGGCTATATCATGCAGGGTCACTAGCAAATGGAGGCAACGTGAATTTCTGTCAGCACTAGATGGAGGGAAATGAAATAAGGTGTGTACGTGCAGTGACATTTTATTCAGTTATAAAGGAAAATGACATTATGATTTTTGCAGGAAAATAGACATATTGAGAGATTGTTGTATTCAAAGTGCCCCAGATTCAGAGAAATACTGCATGCTTTCTCACATT